TCGTAAGGTGGCAACACATCACTCACTGTATTCAAGGAAACGCGCTTCCTAGTTATCTAATATAGTACCTTTTCCAGTGCATTATACGTCTACGTGTCTTTGTGAATGCGATGGTATGGTGTGATATCTTCGGGGAGCATTTTACATGAATAGGATATGAGAAAACTGCTAATGGCGTCGAGGCGACGGCGACGTAGTCATGCTCAATGTTCATGAACATTAACACAATGATTAAGTATGTACATCAGCAGGCAGACGCTATAGAAGATGAGTGATAACGTGTCTAGCGTACGTAATGGTCTTCACTTGTTTCGTCTGCCTCTCAGCTTGGCTGCTGCTAGGTATACAAACGCCATAAATACTTCGTTAGGTGCGTATTGCATTTGTCATTGAAGCCTTAACCTAACATTTGTGGCACCGTGCTGTTCGGTAAAGATATCCTTTTAAATGCGAAGCATTTCTCAGCAAACTTCGGCGACTTTGAGCATATCTATCTATCTATCTATCTATCTATCTATCTATCTATCTATCTATCTATCTATCTATCTATCTATCTATCTATCTATCTATCTATCTATCTATCTATCTATCTATCTATCTATCTATCTATCTATCTATCTATCTATCTATCTATCTATCTATCTATCTATCTATCTATCTAGCCGCCAATGGCTTTTAGTTCTCCTGGCCGTTTCAATAATGGTATCGATACCGAACATTGTGTGGCATAACATGACAGTATGAAAAACATATTGACTAGTCATCACATGAAAATCATGACATTAGGTCAAGAATGTCATGATTTCTATTTCATTGTCCTGCAGCACTTGTGGTGCTTTCGTTCACATGGCATGTTGAAAAAGCGGTATGGTATGACATGATTGCATGGCAAACACAAGCGACAGACCCTAATATGAAAATAATGATATGCGTGTCATGTAACAACATGACTATATCCCACGCTAATGATGCGCTCACGGCCATTTCGCTAGCGTCACATATACCAATTTCGGTAGTACGGTACGCGAATTAATGACGAAGGTATGAGACTGGTGCAAACATGATAATCTTGAAATGCGTGTCATGTAAGAACATGACTACATGCCACGCTCATGATGTGCTGGCGGCCTTTTCACTAGCGTCACTTAAACCAAATTTGGCATTACGAGACAAGAATGAATGATGAATGTATGATACTGGTGCAAACATGAGAAGCATGAGATGAATGTCATGTAACAACATGACTACCTGCTACGCTCATGATGCGTTCGTGGCCGTTTCGTTAGCTTCACATGTACCAAACTCGGTATTACGCAACGTGAATGGATGACGTAGGTAAATGACACAACCTTACATGATAATCACGACATTCGTGTCATGTAAGAACATGACCACATTCATGCTCATGATGCGCTCGTAGGCGTTTTGCTAGCTTCACATGTGTCAAATTTGGTATTACGTGGCGCCAATGGAGGACGAAGGTATGTGACTGGTCCATAATGATGATCATGCGATGCGTGTCATGCGAGAACATGACTACATGCCACAGTCAAGGAGCCAATACATTTCAACGTGACGAAATGCTCGTGCACGCCGGCGTTTATTTCGCCGCGTCCTCCCTAGTAAAAATCAGTGGATCTGCCCACTGACCTTCACTGTGGGTCTGCATGCCATATACTCGCCGGCGTGGGCCGCGCTGCGTTGCTTTGACGCATGCGCATTTGAGCGCACACGGCGTCCCTCCCCCACGAAGAGAGGCAGATGCGGTGCTGTCTAAGTAATGTCATCGGCGAGAAATGCAGTATATCGCATATCGCGCTGGTTGCCACCGTGCCGCGCCGACGGACGCTGGTCGCACCAGTCGCGCCTGGCGTCACACTACAGAGTGCTCGCGTTTTGCTAGCGTTGCGTCGCTGCGCTCAGCTTCCGCGTGCTTCAACGTTGCGTTGGAGTATATGGAGCCCTTCAAGACGCGCTCGCCGCCGTTTCGCTAGCTCCACATGTACCAAATTTGGTATCACGGCGAGTGAATAGACGACGAAGGTAAAAGACACATCCAAACCTGATAATCATATTATGCGTTTCATATAAAACATGACTACATGCTACGCTCATAGCGTTCTCGCGGCCGTTTCACTAGTTCCACGTATACCAAATTTGGGTATTACGTGACGTGAATGGACGATGAATGTAAATGACACGTGCAAATATTGATAATCATGATATGGTTTTCATGTAAAACATCACTACATGCTACGCTCATAGCACGCTCACGGCCGTTTCGCTAGGTATATACATTACATATACCAAAGTTGCTATCAGGTAATATCAATAGATGACGAAGGTAAATGAAACGGCCAAACATGATAATCATGACGTGGAATTCATGTATGGCATAACTTACCTCGGCCTCTTAAAATTGTGCTGATTTTAAAGTGACCTATCACCCTTCTTGATTCGTGCTTCGCATATAATCAATTCCCAGTGTACGTGAGATCTACCAAATTTTTTTGTGCTCTTCACTTCGCGTACTGTTTTCGTAAATTGCTTCAGACAAAAGAAAACTGGTTGGAATGCTTCGCAGCACGTTTGCGAGAAAATTGTTTTTCGGCTCAAGAAAGTGAGTCAACGCTCGTGTTTTTAAGTTTTCTTAGTGCCGCTGCATGTAATAATTCATTGCATGAGTGAATTTTAAGTGTGAATACACTTTATAAGCGACCCCAAACCATCCACCGCCGTCGGCGGCGTCCGCAGTCTTCTCTCTATCTTTAAAAGAAAGAGGACTTGGTGGGCCGCAGCGCGACGCTCTACCGAATAAGCCACGGACGCGACGCTGATATTGGTGTCAGTAACGCGCTTTATACCCCTCGCCCTTCGCTCGCTCCTCCGCTCTCCTCACTCGCTGCAGCTGCGCGCGCACCCCTCTCTCTCACGCGCCGGCCTTCTCTCTCAGTCTCCCGTCGAGAGCGGGTCGTGAGGGGGAGTAAAGTTAAAATCCGCTGGCATTCGCCAGTGAGTTAACGTAAACTCCCCCGTGTGATCAAATTGTGATTCCCAGGAACCATTACACCGTAAAGGCACCATAGTGTGATTAATAAATATATTAGTGCGAATTAATAAATACCCCTCATAGCATCACCACGTGTATTCGCACTTAACCATGTTCACCCTCGGGGAAATGCTTGGGAGTTTTTTTTTTTAAAGTACAGCTTTGCTGAATATCGTGATATGGGCTGTTTGCAAATTGCCTAAAGCTCTAACGAGCGCAACAAGACATAAATGGTGAATCTAGAAAAACGTTTGCTAGCTAAAGCTAGGACGTAATTTTTGAGTAAACACGTCTGCCTCGTTGACTGCTTGCATGACATCTCAAATTTCTCTGTTTTTGCTGTTAGAACTGCTTGTTGGTATTTTCTTGAGAGAGCAATGTACAGTGTGTAGAAGAAAACTAGTGCGAAGGTGGGATATAAACTGAGCCACCACTTTTTCTCTTTTTTTTTGTTCATGCCGGAATGAAGTGTGTGTCCAAGGACGAGTGCTGCCGTGTCGCGTTGTGCACTGTATTTGTAGTTGTGTGTGTTTATTGCAGTTTTACTCTTCTGTAGGTCTTCTTATAATGTTCCCTGTATGTTCATTTCTTGTTTGTAATTTATGATCATGGTATGGAAGCTGTATTTCTGCGTCTTATAGTGCAATGAACCTCTCGTTGTGCCTGCATTTTTGCGCTGCAGCTCACACGAAGCTCATTGGTGCATGTAAACAACGCGTTAAAAAATTAAAGTATGGCCTCAGAGACGAGCACGCACGTAAACGTGGTCTTGAAGGCTGTGTATTATTCCTAGTCACCACAAAATTGCCTTCGAGACATCGTTTTTTTTTGTGGTCTCTCATCTCTGAGTCTGTGAAGGTTCCCAACACCAGCTTGGAGCACTGCGAACCGAAGCCAGCCGCCGGGACCTATGGGAGGGTCCTTTCTCAACTTTATATGTTACTCTACGGATTCTCTTCCGACTTTGGTAGGCTTGGGTCCATTGATGACGTAAGTTTTCGGTGGCGCTGTCTCTTATTTGACGCGTGTTGCAGCATGCTGCCGTGTCACGCCAGCTGCGCCGGTTCGCGCGGAGTGTGTCACAACAGATGCTTCACAATACAACATCAATTTTCGGAGTTTTAATGCGTGGTACAAGCGTTCATTGCCATTCGTCAGAACATGTGATTATGATGACTTCATGGTTTACAATCAGTCAACCACAAGAAACCGCACTGAGAAGTTACTGTGCCTATTTTCTCAAGGCCACGTAGGGGGTACATAGCAAGTTTTAGAAGATTTCTTGTAGTAAGTGTTTCAAGTAAACAGAAGGAGCAAGACATCGCTATCACGTTCAACATTCAAAGGCAAAGCTCAAGGGTTCCCTAATTTTCAGTGACTAATCGCAGGTAAAATTTGTCTGGAACTGAGATGCACATTACCTTGTCGTTTAATAAAATGCGAATCTCGTATTGTGCTTATATTGTGTAAATGTTAGCCTGTGCCTCTTATGTGGCGATATAGGTGACAAATCCTTTGTGATCAAAATATTATGTAATACGAAGGAACACGTGCTTCATTATTGTGGACGTGCTAACTAAATGCAATTGCATAACAGTTTTTTGGGTGGATCGGTGGGAGTAAAGAGAGAGGGAGATAAAGATGCAAGGAAAGGCAGGGAGAGGTGGGAGTAAAACCTCCATATTGTTCTTTGGTGGGTGCGCCAGCTTGAGGCACGTCGCAGACATAGTTTGGCTGCCAAGCGTATCATTGGAGCTCCCCGAGGCTGTGCATGCAAAAAATAATCTCTGTAACATTTCAATACAACTAAAAAAGAAAATTTATGATCAAGCGAAATAGGGTGAATGTTTTGTATTAATAGATGTGACATACATTGCTGAAATCGTAGGCCTCTTTGAGTGCTGGCGTGTGTGTAGTGCAGGATAGTTTTTAAGAAGAGAAACGCCTGAAAACTACATCAACAATGAAACCATTGAAGTTATCTTTATTGTCGGACTTAACACTTGCACAGCAGAGGAATTCAGCTCATCGGCCTGTTCAGGTTAAACAAGAAATCAGGAACTTTGCAAGCAGTTTTTCGAGATGTGGAACTTTGGAGAGGTGCCACACAGTAAGTCGTAGATGAATTCACAGCACTCATCTCTTTCGTTAATTTTGCTTTCTGGTTTCCAAAGTGTACAGCCCGCTCCTGCAAAAGAATACGGAAACGATGGTTTCAGTTATTCGACTTTACCATATTTTTCTTGCCCAGTAAAACCCCGCCATGGTGGTCTAGTGGCTAAGGTAGTCGGCTACTGACCCGCAGGTCGCGGGATAAAATCCTGGCTGTGGCGACTGCAGTCAGCGGCTGCGGCGACTGCACCCCAGGTGGTGGAAAGCTCCGCAGCGCACCACTACAGCGTCTTTCATAATGATATGATGGTTTTGAGAAGTGAAACACTACATATCAATTAGTATTGCCCGGTAAACTAACTTTCAGCTTATGCCTAGGTCGCAATACATTGGTGTTCCTATTTCGGCATGAATGCTTCTTTGTTGAATATATTTATTATAAATTTACGTATATCTAAGTCAAACGCGGGGTGAAAGCTCCGGAAAAGTTTTGGTTCTGGATGAGGCTGACGTTTTTGCTACTCAAAAGCTTTGTTTCTGAGAAATTCGTGAAAATTTCTTCCTAACCTAGTGCTACAAATGGTTGTCCATTTCCAATTTGTTATTTTTATTGCAAGAGCAAGTATATGGATAGTTTCGCCTGTTTTTTTGTGCGGTTGCCGCCACCGTCCTTCACCGTATATGTATACGTGTCTATATATATATATATATATATATATATATATATATATATAAATATATATATATATATATATATATATATATATATATATATATATATATATATTTATATGTATATATGTGTATATATATATATATATGTATATATATATATATATATATATATATATATATATATATAAAATAAGGGAAAGAAGTGTATACCTAAGGGCTCGTTTTTCCGTGTTTTTAACACAATAATAATGAGATATAACAGACAGTAATGCCAAGGAATGTACAGGGGAAGTTATTAACATTAATGGAATGTAAATAAGAAGAAAGAAAAGTGGATGAAAAAATTACCAACTGTAAGCAGGAATCGAACCTACGACCTTCGAATTACGCGTTCGATGCTCTAACCACTGAGCTATTACAGCGGCACTCCCTGACGAAGGCCGTGCCACGGCTGAAACGTTGGCATAAAAGTATTGCTCTTTCGTACGTGTACTCGCTTGTGTTCTTTATACGTACCAGACCCCTTGAACTTCCTGCTGAATATATATATATATATATATATATATATATATATATATATATATATATATATATATATATATATATATATATATATATATATATATATATATATATATTATATATATATATATATATATATATATATATATATATATATATATTGTCGCAGTGCAACGCACGTGAACAAAAGATGACAGCAGCTTACGGCAGCGAAAAGAGCGTATTCAGGATCAACTGTACAGCAAGATGCCTGCTTCATGGTCGTCCCGAAAAACCACTTGACCCACTAGCTGGAAACTACAAAACATTCCTATCATCGTTCTTTTTCTTACAAACACGTGTCACTTGCCCCTCCTTATAAGAGCATCGCCCCGATGCTGATTCAGACGCACAGTATTTTTTTTTAACGTGCAGTCAGTCACTCACATACGGCTTCATACGCACTACATGAACAAGTTCAGGCTGGTGCTGCCGACGCCTCGGGCATTGGGGACTGTCGGAGACAACCTCGTAGGTGACGTCACTTAGCTGGCGCGATACTCGGTATGGCCCGAAATATCGCCTTAGCAGCTTCTCGGACAGTCCACGTTTTCGTACGGGTGTCCAAACCCACACTCTGTCACCGATTTTGTACGTTACAGTTCTATGGCGAGCATTGTAGTGGCCTGCGTCGTAGTCTTGTCACTGGTGGATCCGTAAGCGGGCGAGCTGCCTATAGCTTCTTCCGCGCGTTCAGTGAACACGTCAGCGCCTGTGTCGGTAGCGTCCCATTCCTGTGGCAACATCGCATCCAGCATAGTCCATACCTCCCGTCCATGAACGAAGCTGAATGGAGTCATGCGAGTCATCTCTTGTTTAGCCGTATTGTATGCGAACGTGATATAGGGTAAAATTTCGTCCCAATTCTTATGTTGGACATCCACGTACATCGACAGCATGTCTTCAATCGTCTTGTTGAGGCGCTCTGTTAGTCCATTTGTTTGCGGGTGGTACGCAGTGGTCTTACGGTGAGTCGTTCCACTAAGCATCAGGACGTGGTGTAAAAGAGCTGCCGTAAATGCTGTTCCGCGGTATGTGATCACGATAGTCGGGGCACAGTGGCGTAGCACAATATTTTATATGAAAAATCTCGTCACTTCCACTGCGGTGCTCTCTTAAATAGCTTTTGTTTTGGCATACCTGGTTAGCTAGTCTGTTGCGACTATAACCCAGCGATTCCCTGCAGTAGAAGTAGGAAGGGGTCCCAAAACATCCATTGCTATCTGTTCAAATGGTGTACGTGGAACCTGAACTGGTTGCAGCTGACCAGCGGGTCTCTGGAGGTGACTTGCGTCGCTGGCAATCGATGCAAGTATGAATGTGGTGCTTGATGGTTGTTGTGAGTCGGGGCCAGTAGTATCCCTGCTGTACTCTTGCCAATGTGCGAGTGTAGCCTAAATGGTCAGACGTCGCCTCATTGTGACATGCTTGAGCACTTCAGTTCGAAGGGGTGCAGGAATAACGAGCAAATAGGGAGCTCCGATGGATGAAAAGTTTCTTTTGTAGAGGACGCCATTGCGTAAGCAAAACGACGATAATGTCTATGGAAAGACTCTAGGTGCCCTCGAAAAACGTCCGTCCACGTAATTATTCAAATCAAGCAATTCAGGGTCACTTCGTTGTTGTTGGGCAATCGTGGACGCGTCGAGAACACCAAGGAAAGCCATATCGTCGTCGTCAGAAAGAGAAGCTGACTGTACTGGTGATCGAGACAGGCAGTCGGCGTCCGTATGGCGCTTCCCAGACGTGTGTATGACCGTCATATCAAACTCTTGTAACTTCAGACTCCACCGTGCTAATCGGCCGGTTGGCTCTCTTAAATTAGTCAACCAACAGAGGGAATGATGGTCACTTATAACTTTTAAAGGGCGGCCATACAAATACGGGCGAAATTTCATAACTGCCCAGACCATGGCGAGGCATTCTTTCTCAGTTGTTGAATAATTGGCCTCCGCGTGTGTTAGCGTCCTGCTCGCGTAGGCGATCACTCGTTCCGTGTCTTCTTGCCACTGCACAAGCACAGCTCCGAGGCCGACATTGCTTGCGTCAGTGTGAAGCATTGTTGGCGCTTGTTCGTCGAAGTGAGCAAGCACTGCAGGTGTTTGAAGACGTTGGCGGAGGCCATTAAACGCTGCTTGCTGTTCGTGATTCCACTCAAAGGTGGCGTCGTCTCTAGTGAGGCGAGTTAACGGCGACGCAATCCGTGCGAAGTCGGCGATGAACCGGCGATAGTAGGCGCACAGGCCCAGAAAGCGCCTGACAGCTTTTTTATCGGACGGTACTGGGAACTGTGCCACGGCCGCAAGTTTTTCGGGATCAGGCCGAACGCCGGTACAGCTGACGACATGACCAAGAAACAGCAGTTCTTCAAAACAAAAGTGGCATTTCTCTGGTTTCAATGTGAGGCCTGCGGAGCGTATGGCTCGTAAAACAACTTCTAGCCTCTTGAGATGCTCGTCAAAAGTTGGGGAAAACACTATGGCGTCGTCTAGATAAACTAAACAGGTCTTCCGTTTTAACCCTGAAAGTACAGTGTCCATGAGCCTTTGAAAAGTAGCGGGCGCTGAGCACAGACAGAAAGGTAGAACTTTAAATTCATATAAACCATCCGGCGTCACAAAAGCGGTTTTTTCCCGATCCCTTGGGTCTACCTCGAATCTGCCAATATCCACTTCTGAGGTCCATTGAAGAAAAGTAGCGGGCGTTTCGAAGCCTATCGAGGGAGTCATCAGTACGTGGAAGCGGATACACATCTTTCTTAGTCACTTGATTCAGCTTCCTGTAATCCACGCAAAAACGCAGGGTACCGTCCTTTTTTTTAACTAATACTACCGGCGATGCCCACGGGCTCTGTGATAGCTGAATCACATCATCTTCAAGCATTTTAGCGACTTGTTGCTGTATCACTTCCCGTTACTTTGGAGCCACACGATAAGGATTCTGGTGTATAGGCCTTGCATGCATCGTGGGTGCTTTGTTAGCGGCGTTCGACCGACCCGTGATGTCGATGAAAAGCAGTCCTGGAATTCAGCTAGCAGCTCAAGAAGTCTCGTTCGTTCGTCCCTTGACAACGTAGTACCAACGTCAAGATTAAGTACGGATTCTTCTTGAGGTGCTTCGTCTAGGGCCGATAAACTGCCTTGGATTTCTGCAGTAGTGTCAAAGTAAGCGACGGCTGTACCCTTCGGGAGGTGTCGGCGCTCAGTGCTGAAGTTAGTGAGCAGCAAGTTTGTGCGTCCAGCTGTGACAGTGACAAGACCTCGAGCGACTGAAATACCGTGGCTGAATATCAGTGAGCTTATTTGGTCAGCAATGCCGTCGCCGTCAAACGGCTCATCCCCAGCCACCGAAACTAGCGTACACGATCGTGGCGGAACGACCACATCGTCATCCGTCAGACGCAAAGGCCCTGAACAAGACGTATGTCTCGGCTCTGAACAATCGACTAAAGTAGGGCTGTTGTTGCGAAATGTAATGACACTGTCAGGGATGTTAATGACGGCGCCATGTTCTCTCAAGAAATCCATTCCGATAATCAGGTCTTTACAGCATGAAGCGAGAACGACGAACGTCGCCACGAAAGTAGAGCCACCGATGTCGAGCCTTGCTGTGCACATTCCGACAGGCATCAGTAATTGGCCGCCTGCCGTCCTTAAGTGAGGTCCGGTCCACGCTCTCTTTACTTTCTTGAGGCGCACGGCAAGGTCATCACTGATAATAGAGAAGTCAGCCCCGGTGTCGACTAAAGCTTTGACTTGCTGTCCATACACAAGAACGGTAAGGCCTGGGGTCACAGTTTCGTCGGTATCACGTCTTGTCGGCTTTACAGCGTCCTGAGGT